CCCCATTGGATGCCAATGAACCCTACAATACTGCAAAGGCAATTGCAGAGTGGGGTCTGGATTATGTTGTCCTGACATCTGTGGACCGAGATGGTTAGTGTGATGACCTCATTCAGAAACTGGCTCTTAACTAACTTGTGACATTGTAACTTAAGCAGCAGATTCTTTTGTTTCTAGATATGCCTGATGGGGGAGCTGAACACTTTGCAAAGACTGTATCCCACTTAAAGGAAAGGTACTTGCTTTTACATTTGTTTGTATAATCTAAGGACATTTTCTGTCCCATATAAATTCTTTTTATTTAAGATCTTTTCCTTAAAACAGTGGTTATTAATTTTGGGGAGGGTTATAAATGTTTCTGATAATCTGCTGGAAATTATGTGACTATTTCTCAAAAAAAAAAAAAGCTTATTTGTACATAGAGATACATACTTGCAAAAATTTTAGGAATTCAGAGTCACGAACTGTGGATGTTCAGACTTGAGCGTTAGTCTAAATGTTGAGTACTTCTTTAAACTGATACTGAATGAGTACTGAAAATTTGTTGGAGCAACAGTTATATTAATTCTTTTCCTCAGTTTGATACTTATCTTTTTTTCTCTCTAGGAATCCAAAAATTCTTGTGGAATGCCTCACTCCTGATTTCCGAGGAGATCTTAAAGCAATAGAGAAAGTTGCTCTGTCAGGATTAGATGTATATGCACATAATGTAGAAACAGTCCCAGAATTACAGAGGTGATTACATGTCCAGAGTAATAGGGGGAAAGTTAGCAAAGTCAGATCTACTATGCCTTCTCATATTTTCAGGGAGAACTTTACAACTGACTCTTGAAGAACTTTTCTTTTTTAAACAAAAACACTGTAAGCCTGTTATAGAAAAATCAGGAAATACAGCCAACAAAAAGAACAGAAGCACAATATTCCCACCCGGTAATATCTGTTTTTAACACCTAAGCACATATTAAAGGAGTTCTGGTGGCACAAGCATTTGACTTTTAACCAGAAGGTGGGCAGTTCAAACCCACCAGCTGCTCCACAGAAGAAAGACAGAAGGAAGATGGGGCAATCTACTTCGGTAAAAATTTACCGCCTTGAAAACCCAATGGGGGTTGCTGTGAGTTGGAATCGACTCAATGGCAGTGGGTTTGGTTTGTTTTTTAAGTACAGATTACGTATGAATGTATGCATATCCCATGCATCCTTTCTTTTTTCTTTTTAATATTGTTAAGAGCTGATGAATGTTATTTTTTTCAATGCACAGTTTTCATAAGTGAAATAGAGAATAGAAAACCAATAGAGAGAAATAACCAAATCAGAATTTGGTTCTTTGAAAAGATCAATAAAATTAGCTAGACTGATGAAAAAAGAAAGCAGATACAAATAACCAAAATAAGAAATAAAAGTGGAAAGAATACAACTGCCCCACTAGAAATAAAAAGGACCATTACAGAATACGCTGGACAATAGTATGCCAACAAATTTGATAACTTAGATTAAATGGACAAAATCTTAAAAACATGATCTACCAAAGTTGATCAAGAATAAACAGAAAATCCTAACAGACCCCTAACAAGTGAAGAGATTGGATCAGTCGTCAAAATCCTCCCCACAAAAAGAAAGCTGGGACCAGATTGTCTCACTGGGGAATTCTATCAAATTTTCAGGTTTCAAAAAGGAAAAAATACTATACAAGAGCAAGTGGTTCAGTTGTGATTATAAGGAAAAGGCTTTTAAAAATGCAGTTGGCATTAATATATGCAATCAATTATGCAGAAGAGAAGCTGGTATCATTGAGATGTATTTTAGATCTCTTTTTAAAAAGTA